ACTAAATTGGTTGCCTTTAGCCTTAAGGACATATCCTGACCTTGTTCATATGTTGTGAAAATCGTTTCCAAGTTATCATTTTTATTGTAATATTATTTAATTTGGTCAGCGGTATTTCTTGATCTCTGGGGTCATAGTTTTGAAAAATGATATAACACTTTATTGTTACAGATGGTAGCACGTAAAAGAATACACATGATTTGTGTAGGGCTATGACTGCGCGCATTTAATCTTAAAAACATAGGAATCGAACAGTTAACAAAAGAAGCAGTAGGGGAAAAATTTTAATATTAAAAGATAAACTGTAGTCTTACACTGAATGGTTCCAAAAAGTAACTGATAAAATAGGACATATTTCTACGTGATAAAAGGTTGATCTCTCTTTTTTCTCATGGGGAAAAATAAACTTACGTTAAAAAATAACCTGGCATCAATAAGTCTACTCAATGTGAGAGCACCATGTCAAACATTCTGGCTTTTTATATCGATCAGAAACACTGTTAATATATATATATATATATATATATATATATATATATATATATATATATATATATATATTTCTTTTCACGTGGAGCACTTTTTATGCCACAACGTTTTTTGGGGCAGACTCTATTCAGAGCTGCTCATGTAAACCCTTGATTTATTTATATATATATATATATATATATATATATATATATATATATATATATTCTGGCTTTTTTATATCGATCAGAAACACTGTTTTATATATATATATATATATATATATAAAAAGAATATGGTGGTACTTGTTTGGAAAAACCTCGGATAGCTCAACTTGCAGTAGAACAAATCGGCACCCGAGGAAAAATGGGAAATAAAAAAAGTAAGAACCAATAATATTAAAACAAAGCGATAACAATCAAGTGTTTAAGTTCTAAGTCCAAAGAAAAAAAAACGATTGTGTGCTTCTCTCTCTCTCTCTCTCTCTCTCTCTCTCTCTCTCTGCGTGTGTGTGTGTGTTTAATCATTCCAGTGGATCTTCTCGAAATAATGTTTTTCGCTGACATGAAGTGGAAAGATTATATCGAATCAACTGCTAGGTCTTCTGCTACGAAATTTGTTTCACTGTGTCGAACTAGACTATATTTCTCGCCAGAATCTGTCTTACATACTTATAAGTCTACCATTTGTCCTTGCTTAGAATACTGCTGCCACACCTGGCTTAGTGTACCTGATATATATTTAGAGATTCTTGATAAAAATCTAAATAAGGATACGTTCTTGGTTATGACCTGATATCTCACTTCCCTGTGCCTCTTTCTATAAACATTTTCATGATAATTGTTCTGATGAACTTACCTCTATGTTACCATAATTTAAAATTTAAGCGCAATACTAGATTAGTGACAAGGGCTCTTCAATTTACAACAGAAATGGCTAGATGTAACCGTAAGTTCTATGCTAACAGTTTCTCCTATTGCACTTCTCGCTTGTGGAATTATCATCCGATTTATCATGGGTCCTTACCAATAACTACAGAATGAACTCTTCCTAACACTATGTATACTACGCCTCTCAAGAGAGAGGGTCGAATCAAGCCGAGCTCCTCTGAGCAGAGAGGAACGCGGACGAGGCTCCGCAGAGTCTCGTTCGGGGAGGTTGACCAATCCGATACCGTTTATACGGGTTCTACGGGCATTTTTAAACTAGCCTACGGGCTCAGGAAACCCACGTTAAACTCGGCCTTGTGCCACATGTAACCCTCGTGGGGGCTGGCTAGATACCGAATCGAGCCGAGCTTCTCGGCTTGACGGTCGAACTCTCTGCCTCTGAGCAGAGAGGAACCCGGACGACGCTCCGCCGAAGGGCAGAGTCTCGTTCGGGGAGGTTGACCAACCCGATCCCGTTTATAAGGGTTCTACGGGCATTTTTTGGCCGATCATACGGGCTCGGAAAACCCACGTAAAACTCGGCCTTGTGCCACATCTTTCCTCGTGGAGGAGGCAAGTAAATATCGAATCGAGTCGAGCCGATAGTAGTTCACTCCAAACCAGACTGACAGTCATACTAACATCTTCCACATCTTGTATTATTATTTCGTGTAATATACCTTCGTTATTTCTACTCTTGTGTTCGTGTTGTTCTTCCTAGGTCCTAACCTGGACCATAACAATATCAATGAAACCAAGCAACATAGACAATATGTTGAAATGTGAAGAAAAGCGAAAAATCCCAATAACATCCTACAATGAAGACTAACACAGAAGAAATGTCATGCTTTCAAAAAACACTTTGAGTTAAAATTCAACCCTAACCACACTAAACTAAAGATGCCGCCCAAACAGAACATATATCAATATACGCGCAACCATTACAAATGTCATGGGTCCTTACCTATAACTACAGAATGAACTCTTCCTAACACTATGTATACTATTCCTCTCAAGAGAGAGGGATGAATCGAGTCGAGCCGATAGTCGTTCACTCCAAATCAGACTGACAGTCGTACTATCACCTTCCACATCTTGTATTATTATTTCGTGTAATATACCTTCGTTATTTCTACTCTTGTGTTCGTGTTGTTCTTCCTTGGTCCTAACCTGGACCATAACACGGTTATTTGCTTCCTAGTCAAGTTTGATCTTCAAAAATGTAAAGGCAATGACAATAGTTATCTTCTGCTTTCTTAAGTATTGTTTTTTGTTAGTCTGTTCTATAGTTACTAGTTTTTTTTCTCATATTCTTTAACACTCAGTAACTCATTGCGTGTTAGTGGCTTTATTGCCCTACTTGGTGCATGTGTGAGCATGTGTGTAGATAGATCCTTATTTGTAGCTTAATTTGGTTACCATCAACGATTTGAAATCAATGGCTGCCGACGTCATGAAATTAATAATTTTTGGTGTGTACTTATTTCGTTATGACGAATTTATATTGAGATAGTTACTGTTATGTGGTGTAACCGAAGCCTTCTGGTCATTCGTAATTGGAAAGCAGTACTTGTAAGCGTTGGTTCGTGGAAAACCGATGTCTTGTCGTACATCTCCTTTGACCTAAAAGAAAGGGATGATCAGTGGTCATGCATTGACGCCTGCAAAAAGATTTCAAGAAAAGTGGACTGTTAAGAGTAACGTTATGTCTTGAGACGCTATGATCTAAGCTCGTTGCTTGCTTGCGCCATTACCCTCTCTTTCTTTCTTTCTCTCTCTCTCTCTCTGTTCTAAATAGTGTGCCACGATTGTTGGAATTTTTGTTACAGTTATTTGAAACAAAATGAAGGATATATATTTATTAGCTTAAAACATCAAAACCACCAATATTAGATTTAGTGTTCAAACTAAAGAACTCTGGCAAAATCTCTTGGCATTTTTTCAGTCCCCCAAGTTGGATGTTCTTTCTTAAAGAGAAGAATCACCTCGCGTTGAAAATATGGTAACTTGGAACAACAAATGTTTAAAAAAAATGTATATGTCAGTAAATTATTTTAGTTCATTCATGTAGTATAATATATAGTCAATTTTTTATAAATTAGTTAATTTTTTAGTTCATTCATATATTAAAATATATAGTTAATTTTTTATAAATTAGTTAATATTTTAGTTCATTCATATATTAAAATATATAGTTAATTTTTTTATATATTAGTTAATTTTTCCTCATATAATAAAGCTAAAATTTCCTTTTTTGTGTGTGTGGAACCAAATAGTTCGTCAGTGTGGTCTCACTTGCTTGCCTTCCTGTAACTAACTTATTTTTCTCTCTCCGTTTTCTCTTTACTTTTCACTCTCTATCTTTATCTCTCTCGTTTCTTACCCCTCTTTCTCGCTTGCTTACCCTATTCTCTATATCTCGCAGAAATACATACACTGCAGGAATAATGATTGTTATTGTGTTTCACACATCGTGTGCAAGTGTTTGATGAATCTCACTGATTATATAACTGTAAGCTATTTTCTTTCTTTTTCTTTTTACCTCATCATCACAAAATAGTTTACCCAATTCTTATTGTCGCATTAAGAGGCTCATGCTAAACAATTTTTCTGTTTTTCCTTTTTTTTTTTAAAGCATTTCACCGCAAGCAAAGCGGAAGTGTCACTAGCACGCAAGGGGTTGCAGAGGATTGAGATCAAGAGTAAAATGTCATGTTTTAGGAAAAGATACAGAGAAGAACGAGAAACAAGCTCAGGATATCAGATGTCGATTTACATTACATTTGAATATTTGAAGATTATAGTCATGGGGGATGTAAATAAGGGGAAGGGAGTTCCACAGACGGGAAGTGCGAGAGAAGAAGCTGTTTGAGATGAAGAGACGGTTACATTTAACCGTTTTGACAGTGAAAGGGTTAAAAATATTATCATGGCTCTGCATCTCTGAACTATCCGTGCAAATCTTGTCCTCTGGCTTTAATTCTTTATTGATTTTTCTCTCGGTATTTTATGACCAAGATTGCAAGAGGGAAAGAGATTTAAAAAAATCAACGATAGTAAAATAATTATTTCTGTGGTACAAGAAAGATACGTCCAAAAGCTGTAGGCTAATTTTGGGTGATTATCAATAAGAATTACTGAAATAGAAAGAGGAATGATAACATTAGAATATTAATGGCAGTTTAAAAAAATATATTATTTTTGCGGTAGAATACTAATTTCCGATATTAGATCTACAGAAGTATCAAAATAGACATGAACATAAGGAGCATTCATTTTATCATCTGTCCGTTTACGTGTCCTATTATTTGTCTATTTCTATCCTTCCGTATGCGTCATGCGTAATTCACGCTTGATTGGTCATGTCTCTTTTGGATTCAGGAAGAATTCCCGCAGGAGGCTGCCATTACTATTTGTTATAGACTGGTTGCCAGCCAAGTCGATAGGATCCAGTCCGCTTTTCTATTTAACCCATAGCTAGGGAAGAAGATCTGGATTGCACTTGCGCATAATTGACTATATTGAACTCGATTGCAATGCGAACTCGACTTTTCGAATTCTTATTCCAAGCCGTTATATATCACACCACCCACATATCCGAACATACAGCAGCTGGTAATCCAAAGTAGTTACCAATGTATGTACTGACCAGGCTCGACGTTGCTTAACTTTGGGGATCGTACTGGAACCGGTGCTTCAACGTGATATGGCCGTAAGATAAAGAGAGACTGGAGAATTTAGCACTCACAGGATATCATTTTACTATTAGTGGTATCCTATATTAACTTGCTGACGATTGTTCTACGGCAAGCGCTCCAATTTCTTCCGATTTCTTTTTTTAATCGATTCACCCCAAGCAAGGCGGGAAGTCACTAGTACGCAAGGGGTTACGGAAGATTTGGAGCGAGAGCAGATAGGAATGATAGAGGAAAGGATGAGGAGAAGGATAGTGGATAGTTCAAGACAACTGGAGATGTCGATTGACATTATATTTGAATAGTTGGAGATTATAGCTGTCAGGGAAACAGGAATAGGGAAGGGAGTTCCACAGGCGAGAGGTGCGAGGTATGAAGCTATTGAAGTAGAAGAGACGGCTACATTTAACAGTTTCAACAGTGAAAGGGTGAGAGCGGGATGCCAGCCTCGTAGGGCGCTTGAATTCATGAAGTCTGGGAACCAGTGAAAGCAGCTCATCGGAGCAATTACTATGAAAGTATTTGTAAAAAAGACAGAGAGAGGCGACGGCGCGTCTGTGAGAGAGTGACTGCAGACGAGATGCCAGAACAGGGCCAATTATATTGCATATCCGGCTCAGGATCTTATCAAGAACCCCGAGGCAGACAGAAGGGGATCCAGACCATATATGGCAGCAATACTCCGTGCAAGGGCGAATTGTTGATTTGTAGATCTGAAGGATCGATTCCGGGAAGACAAATTTCCTGGCGCGGCACAGGGAGCCAACTTTCCATGCGGTGGACGAAGCAGTTGACTCAATGTATCAGGTCAGTAGTCAACGTGACACCGAGAAGCTGCAGAGAGGTGCTTTCGAGAAGTTGAGCGTCAGACATTCTAAGGGGGGGCTCCTCATATATATAAAGGTTTAACATCATAATTGTTCAAATCGTGTAGCAGCAAAATTTTCCAATTGTTAGATTAAGCTTTGAACCTTTCTATCTGAGAAATGATTAAATATATCTTACTGGAATTTTCTGATGTTCTTATAAAAAATATTGGGCTCTATAATGTATAATTACTCTCCAAGCTTAACAGAAGAATCGTGATGAAATCGATCATAAACGAAAATGACATGTTCATCATTAATTAATAACAGCTAAGAATGGGAAGCTCATGAAGGATTGAAATTAAGTTCGACTATACATTATTCCAGGATCATTTTCAAACTTATTCAAGATGACCTTCGCTCTCTCTAAAACAAATCCACATTATACCCCAAAACTTTTGCGGTTGCTCTCTTTTTTTCATATACATTTATCTCTCGTTGGAACAACTATAACCTTTTCCATATACATACATGTATATATATATATAGTTTATGCAAACTTAGGTAATCCGTATGGGTAGACCTGAGGAGGATGATATCCAGAGAGCTCAATGTAAAATTCAGAGCAGATATGTTTGAATAAAAGACAGACCACGTTAAGATTCCATGTAATAAGCTATTTCACCATAACCCCTTTAACAGGGTTCTGGATCATCAGACTTTACTTCCAAAAGCTGAAATGAAAAGGAATTCACACGTTTTTGACGGACCTCATCAAGTATACGTAAAATTAACGAAGTGAGGAAGTGAGGTGGGAGAGAGAATATGAGTGTGTCATATGTATCATTTCAATTTCCTATTTTTAACCCCAGTGTGTCGGCTAGATGTTGCTCAAATTTAACGCGTCTCGTCTCTAGATATAGATGGCTAAAGATATATATAGATGGCTATATATATATATATATATATATATATATATATATATATATATATATATATATATATCTTGGATAGATATATATCTTGGATATATATATATATATATATATATATATATATATATATATATATATATATATATATATTCTTGGATAGATATATATCTTGGATAGATATATATCTTGGATAGATATCTTGGTTATATATATATATATATATATATATATATATATATCCAAGATATCTTTCTACCTATAGTACAGAGTTTTTGCTTCGCGCATCATTCAAAGAGGAACTCTCTGTTATCTTTAGCCATACTTTCCATGTGCCATTGTCTCGGTCTAGTCTAGCGTTACAGTCTCCAAGAACAATGGCCTTGTCGCTAGGACATTTGGGAGAAGCGTCGCAGATGCCATGCGCATCCGTAATCTATCTTAATATGAATCATTGTCAATTATTATTAATTTTTATCTAGTGTTTCTTTCATCTTATCTGCTTGGCTTGTTTACAAGGACTAATAAGATTTAATAGTCTTAAGTTGTCGAAATGTCTTCGACGAAGTATTGTCAATTATTATTCATCTGTAACTGGTATTTCTTTCATCTTATTTCTCTTACTTATTTCAAGTAGCAATAAGATGTAATAGCATGAGCATCATATCTTTATTTCTGTATATATATATATATATATATATATATATATATATATATATATAATATAACTGGCTAGGTAGCGAACTAACTTTATATCTATTAAACGTTTCTTCCTATATATCTTTTGGCAAGCTATTTCCATATGCCTTCTCTCTCTCTCTCTCTCTCTCTTTCTATCGCTCTCTTTGTCTCTCTCTCTCTCTCTCCCTCTGTATATATATATATATATATATATATATATATATATATATATATATATATATATATATATATATAGCTTTTAGCGAACCAACTTTTTTATATCTATCAACTTACGTTTCTTCCTATATATCTTGCTGGCACGTTATGTCCATATACCTCTCTCTCTCTCTCTCTCTTTCTTTCGCTCTCTCTGGCTCTCTCTCTCTCTCTCTCTCTCTCTCTGTATATATATATATATATATATATATATATATATATAGCTGGCTAGTTAGCGAACTAACTTTATATCTATCAACTTACGTTTCTTCCTATATATCTTGCTCTCCCTTCTCTCTCTCCCCCCTCTCTCTCTCTCTCTCTCTCTTTCTCTCTCTCTCTTTGGCTCTCTCTCTCTCTCTCCCTCTCTGTATATATATATATATATATATATATATATATATATATAGCTGGCTAGTTAGCGAACTAACTTTATATCTATCAACTTACGTTTCTTCCTATATATCTTGCTGGCACGCTATGTCCATATACCTTCTCTCTCTCCCTCTCTCTCTCTCTCTCTCTCTCTCTAGTTCTCTGCAAACGCCCAAAGTGCCTAAGTGCTCTGTGTGTTTCCCCATAGAACAATAGTCAGCAATTTGATCTCGAAGAGAAGAGCTACTGAGTTCAATCTTCAACAAATACCCCTTGTTTTTGCCTTGTGTCAAACTAAATGGAACAGCAACCCCTTCTTTTGGTTTCTTTTTACACTCTCTCTCTCTCTTTCATCTCTTCTATTTCTCTCCTGTTCAAGCCTCAAATTTTCTATATGACTTTTTTTAGGTGCGCAGAATTAATTTCAACTTCCTCCACCGCGACGCGAATGAGTCCGAAATTTTATTGGCGATAACTTCAAAACGGTAGATTTTATCGAAATTCCTTTGTTAATTTCGAATTATGCATGTACATTTGCACCTAGATGGAACTATTCAGGAAATGTTTATTAGAAGCTGAGCTCGAGGGCTTGAATCGCAATCTGCCCTCGAGTTGAAATTAGTTCTGTCAACCCTTTTTCATTGTCTTTCTTTTGAACATCCCATCAGCATAATAATATATTTCTTAGCATTTTCACTCGCCTCTTTCAACTATTTTTCTTTTTCTTTTGTTGTATAAATCCAAAGAAATCCTTGCACACCTCTTGTCCATCCAACTGTACTGTTTTCTACCTGTCAAAGGCAAATGTCAGAATTGTCTTTCTAGTGTGCTGTCTGATTTGTTCTTCCCATCTTTTAGGTGGTCTCATGCCTTAGATGTTGCCTTTGTAGGATCTTGACACAATGGCTCGTTCTCCTCTTCTGATTACATGGCCAAAGCACTTTAGACTCCTTCTCTTAATCAGGGTAATTATGCCAGATCTTCACATCTAGCCCTTTCTTTATAACAGCCGTTGTAATTCTGTCTCTATTTTTCACAACCCTGGCTCACGGGTAATTGTTTTCGACTGTCGAGACCCTTTTCTTAATGTCCAGGTTCCAAATTACTATGAAGATGATCCGAGTGTAGTAAAGTCTAGTCTTAATATAGTGTGGAATGTCTTTTCTAACATAGATCTATTCCTTAACACTTCCAAAAGCAGTCCTCTTGACCTGGTATCAGGACTTCAGTCACTTTCCCACCGCCATAACGTATCCCCACTGTCCCTTTTCTATAAATACTTTCATAGAAATTGTTCTGATGAACTTTCCTCTTTGGTACACCGACTTTACGAATTTAAGAACAGTACTAGTGGAAATGGCTAGAACCGTAAGTTCTATGCTAACGTTTTCTTCTCTCGTACTGATCGCTTGTGGAACTCTCTTTCAGCTTCTTGCTTTCCAGGCAAGTTTTATCTTTAAAAATATAAATGCAATGTCAATCGTTATCTTATGTCTTTTAAAATCCTGTCCTTTTATTGTTTTCTCTAGTTAATAATATTTTCTTTTTCTCATTTTTCACGGTCAGTAACGCATTGCGTTTTAGTGGCTTTAAAAAATATATATTAAAAAAATGTTGTACTTTGCTATATATAATCTAATGTTTTGATCATTTACGATTCATTCCCAATCACAGAGCTACAATGAGGATTTCAATTTGTAAAGGGCGAGAAAGAAGGGAGTTTATAATAAAACTGAAGTAGATATTGTTATTACTACTATTAATTTATATTTACTAAGATTTCCAATGGAAGGCCACCGTTAATTTGTAGCCACCAGCAATTTGTGGATACGAATAAACTTTGGACAGACGGAAGGAAATAAATGAATGGAAAAAATGAAAAAATAGGAAACAGAAATATTTAAATGGGATGTAGTGAAGGAATAAATTTATTCGTTAAAAGGAATGAAGGAAGGAAAGAAGGAATAAATGAAGGGAGGAAGGAAGGAATGAATGGGAATGAAGGAAGGGA